CTCTCTCTCTCTCTCTCTCTCTCTCTCTCTCTGTGTGTGTGTGTCTTTCTCTTCTCGCACACACACACATCTCTGTGTCATGACTCAACTCCCACCGAAGTCGCGACGGCGCCTAACACTACTTGTTAGGCAAGCCAACAGTCACACAAACACAATGAATTTGGATAAACATGGTTTAATAAGTCCAACAATGAAAATATCATGAAATATCTAATGAAAACAACAATAATACTACTACAACAATCCTAAAGATCTGGTGTCAACGAGTACCTAAGCTCTACTGAGTATCAAAATACCAGGCCAAATTCTCAATACAACTGTTTGAATAGTAGAATAGTAACAATAGAAATAATGAAAGAGAACTTCAAGGTCTATGGACGGTATTGTCATGCCCCAAAACTGAGCAGCATGACCGGCGCTCAACCGAGTGAACCCCACTGAGCAAACCTGTCAGATTTCATTCTACCCAAATTCATACGTGAATAAAGAGGAGATGTACTCCGTTAATCAAGTACTGAAGAGATTTCATTAACCGCTTCCATTTCATTCCGATTAACAACGTCATTTAATATTTCCAAAGTAGTACGAGTTTATAGATTTAATGAAAAACATGTTGCCAAATACCAACAGTTCTAATCCAATTCCCAACATCAAATACCACCCACAACCTGTCTACGGAGCCTCTAAGTACAACTGAAGAGTAATATGTAAATGCCATTAACAAGGCCCCGGCTATACCTCAACCACAAAGTACATGAGAAACAAAAGATACCTGACCCCGAAATGAAGTGAGGCTCACCAAATCGGCTGAAAGGAGTGTACTGCTATCACTGATCAATGCCACCTACTGTAGAACCACCTACATCCATTAAAGATGCAGCGCCCCCGGCAAAAGGGACGTTAGTACTGTCGAATCGAACTAGTATGTATAGCTAGAAATCCTCTTCCAAAATAGAATGCCCATATGATCTATACGTGGAACACATAATATATTGTAATTGAAACAACCTGTACAAACAAGGACAACAAAAGGGGCACCTCTCATTAGACCGTTCTTAGTATTCATATATCATATTATACACTTATGAGTTTCATAGACCGTCCATAGTGTTTATTCATACCGTACATCTATACCTCTTATACACAATGCATCTATGCGTTTCATAAACCGTCCATGGGATTTCATATCACAATGGATTTCATAACACAATGTACCTATGCATTCATAGACCGTCCACAGGATTTCATATCACAATGTACCTATGCATTCATAGACCATCCACAGGATTTCATAACACAATGTACCTATGTGTTTCATAGACTGTCCATAGGATTTCATAACACAATGTACCTATGCGGTCATAGACCGTCCACAAGATTTCATAACACAATATACCTATGCGTTTCATAGACCGTCCATAGGGTTTCAAAACACAATATACCTATGCGTTTCATAGACTGTCCATAGGGTTTCATAACACAATATACCTATGCATTTCATAGACCATTCATAGGGTTTCATAACACATTTCACCTATGCGTTTCATAGACCGTCCATAGGGTTTCATAACACATTGGAAACAAAAGTACAAATAGGTACATCTCATAACCTTTCACACCACATATCACCTAATCCGTACTTTCAACCGCTTACAACATTATTATTACATTGGCTCTCTTGGCCATACATATGATTCTTTATTCATGGCGCAATGGCCGTATTTCATATTCCACACTTTCATTTCTTCCCTTTCATAGATCATCATCATACTTATCAACAAGTAGAATGTTCCAGAAATCACAACTTTAAATTTATTAGTAAAGAAGGCTTTTAAACACAATCGATTTATTTCCAATAATTGGAGTAAAATGATTGGCAATCGAAGTACAAGTTAAAATCATACACAATTTCCACTCACGAATATGTAAGAACTCAAAACATATTAAAAAATACTTACAAAGCATAACATTAGCTAAAACAGCCACATATGGGCATCACTTGAGTTCATAAACTTTTAGCCGATTATATTGTCGAAGTCAATTTTGGAATAGTTGAGTCAAATCTCATTCCATAATCTTTCTCACATTATTTTATTTCATTGGCACCATTGGTCACAAGTATAACTTTCACTATTGGCACGTTGGCCACACTTTATATTCCCAATTTACTGATTTCACTGCCAACCATCTTTATATGTTATCAACAATAAGACATTCCCAATAAATACTTTAGGTACACATATGAGAAATTAAGAATCTTAAGCATATTGAGATTTTCTCACACAATTTGGCATACTAGCTTTCATTTGAAATGCGATTCAATGCCACCACATCTTAATACGCAGCCCATACTTTGAAACTCACGGAAACATTATGGAATTCAATTCCAAGAGAGAAAGTTTAGCCAACATACCGCAATTGAGCTTTCCTTAAATTACTACAACGTTTCGGAAATTCTAGTAATCCCAATCTATTTGAGACATAACAAAATTGAACCATAATTAGGAAGATATTCATGGTCTCAGCTCATTTGAGCATTTTATCAAATACTAAGTGTGGATTAAGGTTCAAGGTCCTTTTATGGAGGATTCCATCATCCCACAATCCAATCTTTACCATTTTTAGCTCAACAATCTTTCTACACCCTTTGATAACACATGCATGTAAAATAAACAACCCACTTGCCCAGAAATTATCTTGCTTATTACCCATTTCTAGACAAAATTCAAAATTGAGAGTTAGGGTGTAGAATCTTACCTTTAGGATGAAGACCTAGTGAGTTTCCCTCCTTAATCTTCCAAAGCTTGAGCAAGAATTGAAGAATCAATTATAGAGAAATACCTTCTCACTCTAGGGCACTCTCTCTCACTCTAAAATATCAGATTTAACGAAATAGGGTCGGATTTTAAAAACCCAAAAATGAAGCTCCGGAACAGGTTATGCGATCGCATAAGCGACCGCATAATGGTTATGTGGACCACATATCGGTCGCATAATTGGTGTCCAAAATGACCAGAAATCTGCCTGAGTCTGCGGTCACTATGCGGTTCACATAAGTGTTCTACAGTCGCATAGTACACCGTATAACAGTTATGCGATCGCATAGTCGACTGCATAATTGCTTCCAACTGACCCAATTAACTGCCTCACTCTGCGGCCATTATGCGGTCCGCAGAGTGATTCTGCGGTTGCATAATGGACCGCAGAAATGCACTTTTCCGCCAAAACTTTTCCTTTACTTTCCCGTGCATTGTTCAACCCAAAAGGTCCTAGCCGCGGCGAGCAAGCTCGCCGCAAAGAATTTCTACAATCCTCAAACACGTAATCCTAGTCCGGCACCATGAAACATTATTTTCTTTGCAAATATTATCGGGCTTTACACTTAAGTTCTTCAAAATTTTCCGGGGTGTTACAATCTCCCCCCGCTTAGGATCATTCGTCCTCTAATGAGGGTCAAAACCTGTTATTAACATCTTATGCAACTCAGTTTGTTTCATACCACATTCGAGCAGCCCCAAATTTGACAAACTCCCAAAATTTCAAAAACTTTTGCCAGAGTTTCCCTTATAACTAAGCCTATCCACCTGTCAGAGAGCCCCAGAAACACTTCCTAACAACATATACGTAAGCCAACGACGTAACATAATACAAAACAAACACCAATTGTGGCCTCACAAGCAATTATATTACCATAACGGAACTCCCTTAACATCAAATGTACAAATCATACATAATTCATAGAAAGCAACTCTTAGAATACTTTGTAAATATATAGATATTCAAACAAGTAAGGATATTTTTCTTTATTTCTTCCTTAGTTTCCCAAGTAGTCTCTTCAACCTGTTGGTTTCACCGTAGCACTTGACGGAGGCAATCTTAACTTCCGAACTTATCTAACAAGGATAGCAAATAGTTGCTCCTCATAATCCAATTATCCATTAACTCCACCTTCTTACACATATACACATGAAACACTGGGTAAACGGAGGTCAATAATAGGGAAACATCATTCCCATAGTTTGGCCTATATTCTACAAGACTTCATAAGGCCTAGTGTGACTACACATACTTTGCCTCTATTAACAATTCACTTAGCATCCTCATGGAGGACATATTGAGAATAACCCGTTCACTTTCTTCAAATCTAAATTTCCATTCCAAACACCCAAAGTAAACCTTTGCACACCTCCAACAATTACTTTAAGATTTGCTAGCTTGAATATTACCATAAAACTTCATATCCAATAAATTTGATCACGAGATAATGCTTCTTCTTTAACATGTTTGAGCCTTCAACTCCCCACTGGTTTCTATAAATATGAACAACGAGGTTCGAGATTGGCTAAAATTATTCAAAAATCCATCAAGGTACTAAGCACGGTATTTCAAGAGGTTATATCCTAAGAGACATGAAGGTTACTACCAATAGTGCTGACATTGTTAATCATTGTGATGACATCATTGATTCGATACATGAGGCATAGAGTTGCCTAGTAGGCATTGATAATGTAGGGACCATGTTCATGATTCTGAGATCTAAATAAATGAGTCATTTTAGACATGTGGCATATGAGAGGTATAATGGGAAGGATAAAGACATTAGCATCAGTTATTCTTGGAAATCTATGAGTCATGAAGAGGACAACAATAATTGTTTCATTCCATACGTGCCTTGTTTGGCAATAGTAGGCCTCAAAGAGAGATAACACTTATGTGATACTAGTCGCCTCCTGG